GCGCCCGGGCCCGCGCCGCTCTGCCCTCTCTTAGGGTCGGCAGCGAGGTCCCGGGCCGGGGGAGGCGGCCAGGGATCCCTGGAAATCGCGACAGGGGATTTTTTCTCGGCCGAAGGAGATGCAAACAGTGCTTGTGACAGGTAGGCATCTGAGAGTCCGCACCCCGAGAAAGGGGCGGGCGGGAAGAGGAAGCTCCTCGGCTGCGGGATAAGGGTCAAACCTTGCAACAGCTGGAAAGTGGATTTAAGCCAAAGCAAACAAACAAAAAAACCCCAAAGACGGGGAGGCAGCCTGGATCAGTGCTGTTTTCAGCAGAGGCAGAGGAAGGCTGCCAGCACGAGGCCCTGGGAGACCTCAGCACCCCGACCCGGGCGCTGCGTCCAAGAAACACGAACCGCGGCGGGAAGGAGCACGAGGGGGGCTCGGAGGCTGTCTGGGGACACGGGAACCCTTTGCTACAGCGAGAGCGTGGCGGGGCTTGGTTTTCCTATCCTAGAAGGAGAAAAGCTATCAGGTGATCTGCTGCCATCTATAAATACACCCGGGGACTGGGTAAACATCGTGGAGAGAAAAAAAATAAAGTGAAGCTGAATAACAGCACTGGCACAAAGACCCATTTCTAGAAACTGGCCAGGAGTGAGTTTGGGCTGGGAGGGAGGTGACAGCTGCTGCCCAGCCGCGCAGGGAGCTCCTCAGCGGGCTCGGGCAGAGCCGCTGGCATAAACGACGTGGTCCTCTTCAAAGGCAGAGCTCGGGGAGCTCGGGACAGGCGACGACAGGGCGGTGGTGCCAGGGGACAGACCCCGCGGCCATGGGGGATGGCTCCTGCGGGGGGCCAAGAGCTGCCCCAGCAGAGAGCACGGACGCCTCTGCTTGCAGACAGGACCTGCCCAGGGGCCCCGCTTCCCGCTGGCGGGCCTCAGACCACTGCAGGGCTTTGGGAAGTCAGAGATCCAGCACGGACGACGTTAACCCCCCCTTACCCGCCAGCTCTGGCTCGCAGACAGCCCGCATCCAGAATTAAACCCGCGGCAAAGCTGGACCGAAGCATCCCTAACAAGAAGACACCAGCGCGACCACGCTGCAGGCGTGTGCATGGGCAGCCACGCGCTGAAAAGCCACCGCTTGTTTTCCTTGCGCCGCCCGGACGGGGTGAAGATGCTTCATCTTCAAGCAGGGAAGCACCCAGCCTCACCGCTCAGCCCCGGAACGGGGAAGGTTCTGGCAGCAGCAGCAGCGTTTTCTCAAGGCCGGGTGCCTGTTTCGGCATCAGGAAAGGCTGTTGGGTTGCTGTCAGCTATTTACATGCTGTACCCGGGGCAAACCCGATCATCTGACGTTTGCTTCTGGCACAATGCTGCTCGGCTCCCGGGCTGAAAATATCCGACCAATTAGGAAAAAATGGCTGCTTATAAATAAAATGTGGGACTGTCCCTGCCACTGTAATAAAATAGTGTCAAAACAAGAACTAGCCCGTGCAGAGCAGAGGTCTGCTCAGGCTGCTGCTCAAGCCTTGCCAGGATGAGCATTTTTATTTCTATACCAGAATATCTGGTGTTATAATCACGGCAGTGTGTGATACTGGTGAAGGAAGGAGTGCTGCATGCTCTCTGCAAAACTGGAAGCTTCACCCATGTGGGACCGTGGGGATTCAGTGCCTTGCGCTGCAGAGAAGCACCCGCGAAAAGCCAAAGGGAAAATGCAAAACCCACCCTGTTTTCTGAAACACGCCGAACCCTAAACCCCAACCCAGCAGTGCTGGACCAGAAGGATTCACGCAGAGCTCCGCACATGATGCATGCGATGCAGCCTGCAACGTGGGTGCTCCGCACGCGATGTGCGAGATGCAGCCTGCAACGCAGGTGCTCCGCACGCGATGCGTGAGATGTAGCCTGCAACGTGGGTGCGATGCGCAAGATGCAGCCTGCAACGTGGGTGCGATGCGCGAGATGCAGCCTGCAACGTGGGGGCTCCGCACGCGATGCATGAGATGCAGCCTGCAACGTGGGTGCGATGCGCAAGATGCAGCCTGCAATGTGGGTGCTCCGGGTGCTCACAGCCCGCCCGCATTCCCTCTGCCCTCCAGTCGCCAGCGCTGCTCTGGGCTCAGCTCCGTAAGTGAGAGTTCAGAATTCAACAGAACCAGAAAATTTAAAAAAAAAAAAAAAAGCAAGCCTAAGGCTGCCGGCAGTTTCCACACTTCGGAGAGGATTTAGGACCATGTCTTTGATTCAGAGGGCAGCTGGGAAACCCAGATCCTGAAGGGCTTTGGTAAAATTTAATTTTCATTCAGAGGCTTTCATGCCATGCAAAATAACAGAAAAATATACAAGAAACTTCTACCACTTAGCTACGTCTAAAACCAGTTCACGCTGCAAATCCTCTTTGGCATCTCGGCCGCCTTGCGTGGGCAGCAGAGCCCTCCTGCCCGTCCCGCCCGCGCTGCCTGAGGTCCTCTGGCTGCACTGGAGGGGCTGCAGCACCTTCCCCGCCTCTCCGCCGCCCACGGTGGCACGGTGCTGCAGCAGGACCGAGGGGTGGGAGAGGGCAGGCGCCCAGGGCCCCCGCAGAAAGGCCGTTTTCGTGCAGCTTTCATCCTTATCAGGGCCAGCAGAGCGCTGGGTGCACAGGTTGACGGTCATGGCCCGGCTGCCACGTTTGCTCCTGCACAATTGCAGCTTGGTATCGCGTGGAGTTTAAAAGGCCGTTGATAAACCCCGTGCCGTGCCACGAGCCTTTCCATGTGCTATGCGTGTACATAGAAATGAAGGCAGCCAGAGCCTGCCACGAAAGCCAGAGCCACACAGATAAACCCCTGCAGAGCCAGATACCCTTCAAGATAAGCAGCTAAAATTAATTTTTGCTGAAGCTGCTTGTGACAGCCCATCGTCTCTCCCCAGCCCAGCTCCACAAAATAATCCCCTCCAGCAAGAAGCACTTTTACAGCAAGAGGCTCCGAGCAGCATTACCAGAGCTGGGACAGGGAAAGGTGCAAGCCGATGGGATGAAACTGGTTTTTGCCCGTGTATTTCCCAGCTGAGCCCCAGCAGCCCCACTCCCGTTCCTGAGGAGATGTGTCCCCAAGCCCAATGCCGACAGCGACTGGAAGGTGCCACCACTGCGTCCAGAGCATCGCTGTCCCTCCGGGCTGTGGCAGACACAAAGTGGGGCACACAGGGCAGGGGGAGCAGAAAACAGCCCTGAAGCACTGCAGCGCCGTGGGGCTGCCACCGCTGGGGCTCTCGGCATCACCCGTCCTGCCGGCTGTGCCGGCCAGCGAGGGACCGCACCGGCAACGCAGCGCAGAGGAAAGGGGGTCAGTGGAAAGGCTCGGTGCTTCTCCAGTTCACAGCTTGGAGGGGGACCTCGGCTCCCCCCACGCTGGGGTCGGAGGGGCCTCCTGGGCTCCCGCTGCCCCCGCCCAGGCCGTGGTGGCTCAGGTGGCCGCAGGGGCAGCCGGCGGCTCCTTGGCGGGGCCGGGGGGCGAATCGGCACTGCCGCTGATCACGTTTTCATATTTCGGCTCTTCCTCTGGGACAGCCTGTCCCTCTGTTTCGAGGCTGAGGACTAACTCAGGGCTTTTGCCCCTCTCCGTGGCACCTACGGCATCGCTGGCCCCATCCTGGGCCCCAGTGCTTTTTGGCGAGGGAGATGCGAGAAGGAAGGAGTGTCTCTTCCCAGGGAGATGCTGGTGCTTGCCAGGGGACGGCTCAGTGGGAGCCCCTGGGACACTCTCCCTCTGCTTGCAGCTACTCACCGAGTCTCTGCACTGTGCCAGAGCCCGGCGGGGCGGTTTCTGGATGGCCTCAACGCTCCTCCTCACCCTGGGCTCCTCCTTTGAAGCCCACTTGCCCCTCTGCAGGCTGCCCAGCCGCTTGAGCACAGCCTGGACCGGTCCCTCGCCACCGCCCTCCGTCTTGGGGTCCTGCCCAGTAGTTCCCACCATCATGTAGATGGTGGTGACGTTGGGCTCCTTCCCCTTTGCCTCCCAGCTGCCGGATTTCGCAGCCGCTTCAAGTGCCTCCACTCTCTGAGCCACGTGCCTGGTGCCAGAGACCACCCGCCGGCGTCCCCCCGGGGTGGCCCGGGGCGATGGCCGGTGGCTTTCCTCCCCCTTGCCAAAGGGCTCGGGGCTCTCGTAGCAATCGCTGGCTGGTCGTGCAGGGGGGGGCTCAGCTGCCACGTCCCCCAGCGGTGGGGACAGCTTGGATGGGCCCCACGGGGTCTTGGGCTTCCGCCCGGGGCTGGGGGTCTCCGCCGCCCCAAATTTTGTCCCCTCAGCAAAGGACACAGAGGGCCGCTTGGCCTTGGCGATGCTGGAGGTGCGGGGGATGGCAAAGGGCTGCGAGACGTCCTCGGAGTCGAAGGCAGATGGGTCCGGGAGCGCCTCGCCGAGGGGGGACACCCCGTCCTGCAGCTCGGCCCCCCCCAGCAGCGGGACGCCTGCGGGAGAAAGGGGCAAGGGTTAGGGCTGGCGGAGCTCCCCCCTGCCCAGGGACACACTCGGGGACATCGGGACAGGGGCTGATGCAATAGGATTGTCCTTGGGAGCGTTTCCCTGGGAGGAGGTTGTGAAATGGGGTTGCCCACGCCACGCACGTCCCATCACACAAGACCAAGCGTGGCCCTGGTGTGTCCTCGCAGACAGGAGAACGAGGGTATGAAAATAATTGCTGCCTGCACCCATCCCTGGGATGCCAAAGTTTAAAAACAGGGCAGGATTGACCCTGGGCAGCCCAGAAGGGCTGCAGGTGGCCAGGGAGAGGAGCAGCAGCCGCGGACGTCACCTTCTCTGGGAGGGACGGAGTACTCGGGTCCCTCGTTGTCGGTGTCGAAGGAGGAGAAGGAGCTGTCTGAAACCCACGCGGCCGACGGCGGCTCGATGAAGCTGGGATTGAAGGGGATTTCCGTGTCGTGGTGGGAAACTGGGGAGGAGAAGACACCCAGCTGAGCTCGGGCACCCCGGGGTGCTCGGGGCTGGGGTGGGAGAGCAGCACCTGCCCTGAGCCATGCAGTGGGGTGAGGGAGAGGGCAGGACCCCAAACGGCGCCAATGCAAAGAGCACAGGGTGGCGGTGACACCCTGGAAGGGCTGTCGGCAGCTCTGCTTTTTTTACCTGTGACTTTGGGAAGTTTGTAGCCGCCCAGGGAAAAGCAAGGCATCATAGCGCTGAGGTTTGCCAGCACCCCCCGCACATGGTGCTTCATCCGGGCCACCACGTCATCGTCCGGCACGGCCGCCCTGCGCAGGGGAGGGGGGTGTGAAGGGGTGCAGAAGACAGGGTTTTGCATTGAAGGTTGCAAAATATAACAAATACCTGTCTCTAGCATCTGCTGGGCCGGCTCCGCAGCAACAGCAGGCGACGCAGAGCAGCAGCAGCAGGAGAGGGACAAGGATGGCGGCTGCCAGGGCCCCGTGGTCCTTAAAACCTGTGTGGAGAAGATGGGTTGAGTTGGCGTGTCCTGTGGCTGCCGAGCCCGTAGAGCTGCCCCACAGGGAGCGCAGGAGCTGGCAACCAGCACCCCTGTCCCCAGCAAGGGTGTCAGGGTCCCTTGACCACTGCCAAGGAGTAGATTTGAGGTCGCTCTTACTCAACATGCAGTCACCCCGCGCGGGGTGGCAGGTCCCCCGGGAGCACTGGCAGGGCGAGGAACAGTTCACGCCAAAATACCCCTCTGGGCAGGTGTCGTTGCAGCTGGAAGAGAGAGGAAAGGAGGGGAAATGCCCCCGGGGAGAGCGGGGCCCCGGCCCTGCCCCGCTCCCGGCGTTACCTGGCTCCCCAGTAGCCTGCCTGGCAGATGCAAGCTCCTGACACGGGGTCGCAGCTCCCCGCAACGCACTCGGGGCAGAGGAGCTGGCATCCGTCGCCGAAGGTGCCCGCGGGGCAGGAGCTGTTGCAGCTGCCAAGACAGAGAGCAAAGCATCAGCCCGCTGCACCCCAGGGCAGGGACCCCCAACAAGGACCAGTGGCCTGATCCTCCGCGTACCTGGGTCCCATCCAGCCGGGCTCACAGCGCGGGCAGGACCCGGTCTCTGGGTCGCAGATGTCCCCGCGCCGGCAGCGGGGGCACGGCTGGAGGCAGCCCTCGCCGTGGAAGCCGGGTGCGCAGGGCTCCTTGCAGAGGGTCCCGTTCCAGCCGGGCTGGCAGGCCAGGCAGAAGCCGTCCACGGGCGAGCAGGGCTGGCTGCGCTTGCAGCTCCCACAGCTGCACGGGCAGAGGGGCGGTGAGGTCCTGACGCCCACCCCCGGCCCCCCGAAATGCAGGTTTCACCCCACACCAGCGTTCAGCATCGGTTGGATCACAGGGAAATACTCTCCAGCCCTCAACGCGCTGTAGTGGCGACAGGGCAGCAGGCAAGCAGGGAGAGATGCTGCTTTATCGCCCCGGGGAGCGGTACCGAGGATGACCAGGTTTTGGGGTGACACCAGCGCTTTCTGCAGATGTTTCTTTTGGGGCAACACTGCTGTTGCATCCAGCCAGGGATGCTCAAACCCCCAGAATGGGTCTCCCTGCCCAGCCAAAGGGACAGACACGACTGTGATGACTTTCCCCCCCAGGGTCTCACTGCAGCCCCTGGGTACCCGCAGGACCCCCCCGCTGCCCCCAGCTACCCGCAGGACC